TCGATAATCTTATATATTACTTCGATAGGCTGTACACTTGCAGTACTATATTTAGGCTACAGATTAAACACCCCATCACCTTGGCCGCCTAAGACGCCTCCTGTCCAAACCCTCCTCCTCCTTTCCAAAAAAAAAGGCAGAACCAAGGTATAAATTCCTCTTCTCTTTTCTTTTTTACACCTCACACAAACATAAACAACACAGAAGATCAGAACATATAAAAGATAAACATGCAAGACTAAAATCCGAAAACCCTAAAAAACGCATGGAGAAGGAAAATTGTTACCTTTTCTTTATCACTGCCTGAACGACCATGGAGAGAGGGAATTGGAGGTGGCGTCCAGTGGCCAGGCATGGAAGGCATCAGTGGTTCTGATCGTGAAGGATGAAGAGGCGAAGAAGGAGAAGGAATCAGTTGCGCTCACAAAAACACTGAAGCCCTATTCTGAGTCAAGCAGATTGAAACCCTGAACAAAAACTTGTCAAACGCTTGGGCCTACCCCTTTGGAAAAAACCCCTAAGCCCAATTAAGTTTTGGCACCTTACACCCTTTTTTTTCTTACCTTATTTTTTATTTTGTTTTCTTGGGCCAAGAACACCTTTTAAGGCCCATCTACTTTTTTATATTTTGAAAACATTTATTTTTATCATTTCATAACCCTTTTGTTAAATAAAAATAATAGGTTAAACTCTTTGTACAAAATTATTTTCAAATAGATTTTTTTAATATTTATTACATTTGAAAGCATGTAAGTAATATATTTTTGTGGTAAAACCTTTTTTGTTTAATTAAACCTTGTATATAAAACATTAACTAAAATACATAAACAATAGTTTTCTTTAAACTTAAAACATTTTTCTCTTCTTTTCTTTAAAACTTTTGTTTATATAACATTAACAAAAATAATAATAAAATACTTAATACATTAGGTTAACATTTTTATCATTTGTAAATAATCACATGCATGTCACAATACTTTTGTTTCTCTTTTATTCTTATACCTTGCTATATTTTACATTGAGAATGCGATGATTCGATTTGGTTGTAAATAATATTTGGACACTACTATCCTGATAAGACTCATCCCCATTTGTAAACATTTGTACCCCCATCCCTGGATACCTATTTGTAATAGCTTAGACTTTAAATTCCCGCAATTTATCGCTTTCTATATACTGTATAGTAATTAGGGTTTGTATGCGAAGATTCAAAATCAACCGCTAGATAACCTAACACAAGACAAATGCATGAAAATCAATACACAATTCACACTTGCACCTCTAGGGTAACCTCACCTGTTGCATCGGAAAAATGCAATCATATCCCTCGAGTATGAGACACTCTAGCAAACGTCCCTTCGATAAACAAAGATCGTAGTCCCTCGATGACCCTCGATGTTGCCTTCGATAAAATGATCTCATCCCTTACAAAAATTGCTAGAGCGTCTCACAAGTTGCCTTCAATGATTGTATACGATGACCCGCCCCCGTCCTGTTAACATCCTAACGCAAGGTTGTTCACCAAATACAATGGTGAAACAACACTGTTAAAAGGGTTAAAACATGAGAAAGATCTTTGAGTAAATTAGGGTAGATAGCTCTTAGTTACTTGATCAAAAACTTGCAAAACATCCTTGCCATTTTTCAAACACACATCTCCACACAATTTCAAAACAAACTTTCAAAAACATTGAAACATCTTTTCAAAAAAGACAAACACCTTTGTGAAACATTCGAGTAAAGAATTGTTACAATGGTTGCCTAGACAAGGCATCTTTTTTCAAAACATTTTCAAAACCACACATACAAAGCACCATTTCACACAATTGAAAAGCAAAGGCAAGTGATCTAAAACAAGTAACTAAGAGCCCATGGATAACCATGGATGAAAAGGGTGCTAGCACCTTCCCTTTTCATAATCTACCCCCCGAACCCACGAAAACATCTCAAAGGTCTTTCCTGTGCTTTTTGACCTTTCCTTAGGATAAATAAAAAAGTCGGTGGCGACTCTTGATAAACCGAACAAGTGCGAATACAAACGCAAAACCTCAAGTCAGTTCTCCCACCGTATCACAAATACCAATGAGATGTTGTAGCTACCAAATCAAGATTTGTACATTGATCAATAGCCTTGATCAAACAAAACCCTAATTTTGACCGGCGAATCAAAAGAGTGATTCTTCTTATAATCAATCTCAAACTTCAATCCTCTGATGATCCAAAGAGATGGATAAAAAATCTTGAGATATGAAATAACTTTTGAGCTTGAAAGATCCAGAAGTTTAGATGATAAGGTTCTACTTGAGCAACTTGTCAATGCGATCAACCTTCAAAGCTTGAGGAAGACTTGATAACCAAGGTATTTTGATCCCATCACAATGTATGAATGCAATGCAATATGATATTCATGATGAAATATAAGCCTAAATCAAGAGGGTAAATTTTGGAGTGCAACAGTTGTTGAAGCTCCTAGAGGTTGATTATGGATTGATACGGTGGAATCATATATTCCTTATTTCATCAATTAGGGATCTTTGTATCATGTTTTAAAGAGGCTTTTCCAGTCAACTTTTCCTTAGAATACAAGTTTTCTTCAAGACATGGCACCTTGTGGGATCTTTGGTCACCAAGTTAAGAGTTTATTGGTTGATTCGCAAGAACATTAAATCATGGTACAAAGATAATGTAGATTCATTGTCAAAATTGTTGCTTACAATACAAGTAGAGTGGTTTTATTCTTTGAAGATTGATTTACAAATATCCATTCAAGTTTCACAAACATAAGGTCAAAGAAGGTGTGTTCAATTGTCCAACTACATTTCAAAATATGGACAAATCCAAAGGTCCCTTCAAGTCATTTTCTTAGCCTATTACATAAAGAAATTACACAAAAACATGTTACATTACAAGAAGATGACATACACCATATTACATTAATTTACTACAAAGGCATAGAAGCATTACAATTCCAGTCAAGTTTTGTTACATCCAAAAGACCATTACAACTTCAAACTATTTCACATACATCAAAAGCTACAGAAAAAAAACCTTGTTTCTAAACCTAAAACATAATTTTCATCTTCTTTTCCAAAGCCCTTCTTAGACTATCTTGCAGTTTCCTTTCCAGGCCTATGATACCTCCTCTTCATTCTCCATGCACTCACCACTATTGCCATCTCATGAAACGAGGAAGAAAAAGGAAGGTGGTTATAAAACAAAATTTGAGTATAAACAAGATAGTTTCAAAGAACTTTTCCAATTTCATCATTAGGGTTTGATTGAAGGAATCAGTTTGTGGTTTAAGGAATTCTCTTTCAAATCATATTCACGAATCGAGCAATAAAGCCTCATATCCATTTGTTTCATAATAAAAATCATATGCAAGTTTAATCATTGGCCTAACTCCATCCTACTGCAAATCTCAAACAAGTGCAAAGAGAATGTTCGGTTCACAATAAGACAAACTCGAGAAGAGACAAATTGTTGCACAGAAACTCGGCCAAAATCCATCAAACATCACAGTTGCACAACAATAACAAATAGGCCAACCCAAATTTCACATCTCAACTAAGTAAAGTTACTGCAGTAACAGATTCTCACAGGAAATCGACAAGTGTAAACAAAATCATGAGTTCCAGCTCAATAAATAGAATTGTAACCAAATCACAAAATATCATATAAAAATATCTATCAAACATACGAAATCCTAACAGATCATCATCATCTTCCTGCTCAAAGTCCCTTAAGAATACAGAGAAAGAGAAGAGGAAAAGAAGCTTTTGAAAAATTTAGAATTAGAAAGATATTACCGGGAAGAGCCTTAATCATTGGTATTCTATCGTGAGCTTGATAAACCCATAACTTTGTCACTTCTTTTATAGTCATGTTCTACTCATCATCGGGTTGAACCAAAAAAAACCACCTTGAATAATCAAGAAAGCGGAACCTTTCCCTGAACAGTCGTTGCATCAACTAACCATGATTCAAAGAAACCAGTTAATGGTTCCCATTAAACCTTCATGATGAACCAGCTCTGAATTCCATAACAAAAAAAACATGGCCTTGTATTAATCATTAAAAAAAGAAAAAGAAGACCGTGATTTGCAATACTGATAACCAAAAACCAGTTCAGTTTACTAGCCCGGCATTTACCTATACCAGTCCAGACTTACACCAGTTTAATTGAATCTTAACAGTGCATTAATATTCCAAAGGAAATCAAAGCCAACCCTGTTTCAACGTTTCCAAACCTGCAAGTGAAAAACATATAACTTGGTTCAACTACAAGGTTAAAATCTATAAAAATCTTTCCTTGCACTTCATGTACCAATTAACCATAACATAATTTCCTAACAGTTTACCCAACTTATCTAACAGTTTTAGCTAAACCAATTGTCAGCTCTAACTAACTTCTAACCATACTAACTGCAACCAAACAGAAAAGGCAGAAAATAGAATGGGGAGAAACAGGTTCAGAGATTGTAGTCCATAACTAATTACTAATAGTCTAAACATTCCTAACTGATTTCATAACAAACTCTAACCAATTCCTAACTAACTTCTAACAACACTAACGAAAATATAAAAAGAGAAGCTTACCTAGATTCATTCATTTTCTTCAATCTCTGAAGAATCACCAAAAAAACTCTCTCTAAGATCTCTCTCCAAATTTCTGCATCCACTCTCCAATTCAGAATAAAAGAATCACAAAAACTCTCTTTTCACTCGAATCTTCCTTCTTCCTTATCTATAATCTTGATCCCTTTCACTTTTTCTCCACAGTCTTCTATCTCTGCTTCCTTCTCCATCACCACCAAGAAAACTCCACAGAAAACTCTCTCTAAGATCTCTCTCTAAAGTTCTACTCCCTCACTCTAATCTCCATCTTCATCAATTATGCATAAACGTGCTTCATTCATCATCTCTTAAAGCTTCAACAATCTACATCCGCATCACTCTATTATTTCATCTTCAATATTCGTTGATCTTTATCGACTGCAATGGAAACACCGCGAGAACATATTCGCGTCTGTATCACAGGAACGCAGTAAGCAGAAGTAAAACTTGAAATTGAAACTCAGGAACAAATATTCAAAAATCTAGAGTAATGAAGGAAAAGCAAAAGCATGGATATCTAGAGTAACAGGAAGTGCATACATAAAGTCTCTGAACTTCGGCGAGCGTCATCTTCTTCGGCTCCTACTCTGACTGATATTGGTAAGCTTCGAGGTCTTTCAATATTCTATTTCTTCTTCGTGTTCGAAGCAGTTAGCTACAACTTATGGCTCACAAGGGATAATCTCGGTGGTTGCCTCTGTTAATCCTGCATTATCGTCGTGAATCTTGAGATTTCAATCCTTAGGGTTTTGCAAATCGGGATTCGATATCACTGCTTGATGAGGTTTTGGTGAAATTCGACGTTGAATTCGTGTTTAGGTTTAAGTTGGCGTTCATCTATTGGCGATTGGGAAGGTTCAATACATTTTAGCCAAGGTTTGGTGGTGGCAACGGAAGCAAATTCGCCGGAAATCACATAAGAGAAATAGAGAGAGAATTGAGTTGAGAATGGAAGAAGCTGAATCGACACTCTCTTTTACCCTATCTCTCAACAAAACGTCAATGTTCCATCTTTTGTCTTCATTTTGTTTTTTTATTGAATAATAAATCTAATTAGTGATGCTGAATAATTCCATCTGTGCATAACTGCTCCGCTCACTTCCCTCCTTGGCCCATTAGATTTGATTTTTGGACATGATGAAATAATTGCTACAAAGAAGCTGGCTGGACCTTGTCATTGATGGCCCTAGCACCCTACTGTTGACTACACCTCTAATCCAGATTTCAGCACCTCCCTGATCTTTCTTTTTGTGATATTTAGGGTTTAATTTTTCTTTATTTATTATGATAAATAAAAAATTACAAAATCGATAAGATTTTTTATGATTAGGAACTAGTTCTCTAATTTTTTATAGGTTTTTCCATAATAAAAACAATAAAAAATAGTGAATATAATAGAACTTTTTTTTGAATTCCTTTTTATAGAAGTTTGTTTAGAATTTTCCGTTATCGATTATGTTAGTAATCACTTTGTTACTTGAGATTGGTAATTCACCTTTGCTTGTTGAGATGTGAATCTTATGCAGGTTTATTGTATGATATACGGATGCGCTTGAGATTTCGATTGTGATTTATTTTCACGTTGATAATGCGTCGATACTTATTCCGAGCATTTAATTTCTAACTCTTTTCTTTGATTGGTGAAGCTTTCACAAAGATCGTCGGGTTTCTTTGTTTTGATACACTTTGCTACGGATTGATAACGTTTGGTATTTTCTCTTGTTTATCTCATTTCGCACTTTACTTCTTTCTAGATATCATGAGAAGTAGGAAAAAAGAGTGTGCACTCAAAGTCGCTGTTTAAATACCTGTAGTAGGCATTCCGCACTTCATTTGCTATATGTGTTGTGCTTGTGTTTGTTTTCTTGGTTGTTGATCGATGAGTCACTCAATTTAGAAATTGAAATCACGACTTCGCTCTCAGTGCATGTTCCCTATAGGATTTCATTGCTTTCCTTTATTTCTTGTTGATCGATGAGTCACTCAATTTAGAAATTGAGATCACGACTTCGCTCTCATTGCATGTTCCCCGTAGGATAGTTTTGTTAGACGTTATTTGGCATGCTAACCTAGATAGGATATCTCTAGGTGTGGTCTCTTGAGCTTATTGGCTTATTTGCTTGATTTCGTCTTTGTGTGCATATTTTGAGATGATATACCCTCGGCATGTTCCTTTAGGAGCTCTCGATTCAACTATAGATGATGATTCGAGATAGACATAATTTTAGGTGATAGACCCTTGCTATGATCCTTTAGGACTTCTTGATTTATCTATAGAAGATGAGTTGAGATAGACATTAGTATTATTATCCATGCATGTCAACATAGGGTAGATATTTCCCTTCCAAAACTCAACTTCAGGATCAATCATTGTATGATAACATTAGAGATAAATTTAGGTTAGTCTCCCCTTAGACTTTTCTTTCCCCTTTTGCATTTGCATTAAAACAAAAACTTATTTTTCTTGCAAACTTCAAAACACTTAAAGATTACTGATGAGAGTCATACATTTGTTGAGCGTTGGAAATGATAAGCGGGTTTCTTCTCGATATTATTATTCTTCAATTCTAAGCATTGATGCGGTTCAAGTCTTAAATACTTATTTCATGAATAAGTGGAGAAGTGGCTAAAATCTCTCTCTTGAGATCAACTAGCTGTTATCCACAGCAAAAACACCAACAAATACAAACTCTTTTTGCCTACGGGCTTTTCTTTCAAAATCTTTTCAAAAGAACATGTTAATTCTCTTTTATGCTGACGCGTAAGTCTCCAAAGGTAGAGTTACGACAGAAGGCGAAATTAATATTGTTCATTAAAAAATACAAACAAATAAAACTTTTGAAGCCGAACTACGGCTACTCTGATTCCTTAAAAGGGATACGTAGGTGTTGTACCCCAAAATTTGCCCTCCCATATTCTTCAAGAAATTGCCAAATCAAGCTGCAAAATTCCCCAAAGGTTGCACAGTGCAAAGGTCTCCCATACAGTCAAAACTAGGGTTTGTGTTCTGATCAAGAAAAGGAAGTTTTCAAGGGCCCAATCAAGTCTCACATGCCTACAAAGATGGTCAAGCATCCTCATATCAAGTTTCAAGGCATTCAACACAAAATTGCACAGTCAAAAACCCTAATTGCACTACAGTCAACTGTAGGGGCAAAATGGTCATTTGACAGTCAAAAGTTCAAATTTTTGGTCAACATATCATTTTGAAGCCACAAACATCATTTGATCAATGCTTGATCATGATTCTCAAAATTTGGCCCAGAAATCATCAAGATGCAAAAGTTTCCTTATTTGGACAGCTGAAAAAGTCAACTGAAATTGACCAGGGCATAACTTTCACATGGATTATCAGAAAAATTCCATCCAAAGCTCATTTTGAAGAGAAAGACATTTCCTACAACTCATATTCATACTTAAAGTCCAAGAAATGCTCTCACAAAAAGTTATCAATTTCAACATTATAGGTCATTTTCAAAAGTCAACAAAAAGGGACTTTAAGTCAAAGGCCATAACTTGAGATTGGTAAATCAAAATGACATGGGACCAAAGGCATTGGTTAGAGGACTCAAAGACCTTTCTAAAATGTCCAATAACATGAGCAAAGCTTAAAAATTGAGCAAGTTATGCATTGGAGAAGTTGGGAAATTTTTGTGAAATGGCCAAAATCATTTATCCTTGAAATCCCATTTTTGACAAAAGGGGCCCACTTTTTCCACTTGAATTGACTTGGCCATGCTTCCCACGTGTCCCATCTTTTATTTCAGATTTTTTTATTAATTTTTTCATTTTTATTGATTTTATTGGATTTAATTAATTTTAAATCTTTTAAAATCAAAAGAAATTCAAAAAAATTAATTTAAAGGGATATTTTGCTTTGATTAACCTTGAAGCATCATTATGTGCCTACCATTTTTCGTGCTAAGGCTTAAACAAGGCAAAAATTCAAATTTGAATCAAAAGTGGAAAGTGTGATAATGGTGGTTTATGCCAAATCCTAAACATCAATGCAAGGCATTATTGGCCATAATTTTCATTCATACACATTGCATAAGACATGTACAAGTGAAAGTGTCCAGGTTCATTCAAGAGACATGCATATTTCAAAAAAAGGAAAACTTTTAATGTGTCTGATTCTTGTCTCATGGCATTAAAGGCCTGGTTAAATGGCTGTCTCTTACCGTTACAAGACCCTCACACTCCTATAAATACAAGGGTCAGTGGCACATTACAACGGACGAAAAAACACACAACAGGAGAACGAAAGAAACATTGGAGAGAGGCTGCCCACAAAATCCATCAAAGGTTGCCAGAATTTTCCAAGCAAAGCCACCCTTCAGCAAAAGTAGCCAAGCCCAGAAGCCCAGATCGAAGGTGCCTACATTCAGGAAGCGCCCAAATCGAAGGTCCAATCCACTGGTAAGAGAGGGTAAACTGTCCAACCTTGTATTTGCATTACACATTCGTGCTTGTTGTTACCTTCAATTTACTATCCTAGACAGGATCAAAGGGCCTGGGTTTGGCCCCAGGTCATGTTCTTCGTTTGCTAACATTTGCTGCAGATTTATCCTGAAAAGACTCAGCGCACGTAGGATCGAAGGGCCTGGGGTTCGATACCAGGCCCTGAGTTTATTTTGCTAACATACTTTTGCATGTATAGCATCCCAGATCGAAGGAGACACCTTCTCTGGATCGAAGCTTCGCAGGCCTCCAGAATTATGCTTTTTTTATTTGCTGCCTGTTTCCGTCGTTTTTCTTATACTTATTTTGACTATTTTTATTTCTTTTTTTTAATCAACATAAAATCAAAAACATAAAAAAAATCAGAAAAGACAAAAAATAAATAATAATTTTATTTTAGTATTAATTTTGTAAATAAATCCCTTAATTAATTTAGATTTAATTTTAGGTTATAATTTAATTCTATTTCACAATAAACCAAAAATAATAAAAAATAGATCTTTAACACTTTTTACCTTTTTTAATTAATTAAATATTTTTATTATAAGTATCATTAACCATTAACTTTGTAAATAAAATTTATAATTAATTTAGTTTTAATTCTAGGTTTTAACTTTAATGCATTTTCTTTAATAAATTAAAAACAATTAGAATTAGAATTAATCATTTGACTTTTAATTAATTTAATGTCATAAATACAAAAAAAACATAAAAAACAAGTTCTTTCTTTTTATTTAATTTAATTATTCTATTAATTTTATTTTAATTCCTTAAAGGGTCCAACGCCCTCGCATTCGATCATATTTCCCTTTTTCGCGCGTTTTATTTATTTCTGTTGTAAATATAATGTAATTGCTCCAAAGCCATGTAATAGCTATTAGATATTTATTTTCTGCACTTTATTTTAAATCGGGTCTGGATTAATTTGGTGTTGTAGACCCGCGCCTTTGTAATAGCGTAGGACCCTTTATCTTTTCCGCACTTTAAATTCCCGCACTTTTAACTGCTAAACAATAACATGAAAGAATGAATGCCCAAAAATAAAATCGAAACGTAGATCACCAATGCATGACAAGACAAACAATAAACTGAAAATGACACACAATTCACACACCACCCCTAGGGTACGCTTCATTGTTGCCTTGCCCCTCGAAAGGTGGTCGTCGAGTAGAGGATGTCTTAGTAAGTCCTCATGATCCGGGAACCTGGCATGAGAGTAGCTTCTAAGGTGTCTTCCCATTGCTCTGGTGATCACCATGTCCCTACAAACTCGAATTGACCCGAACACCTCCAACGGTGGTGCTACCTACCTCTCAATGGTGGGATGGCACTACCTAAAGGACAATTACACAGCTTTATTCCTTAGGGTAGGTAGATTCTCATAGATACTTGCTCATCTCAAAAACAAACAAAAATACTTTTCACACCTACACTTTCTAAAAGTTTTCAAACAAATTTT